AAAATATTTGGTACTCCTGCATAGATAATTAAGTCTAATAATTGAAACTACACTTACCCTTATTCCTTGTGTTATATCTGAATGATCCTCCAGAGTTTGTATCATAGCTTGAATAGCTCCTTGCACAGGAATGTTTATGTACATGGACACAACATCAAAGCTTACTAGCTTATCGCCTTCTGAAATTGACTGCTGATCTAGCAATTTCACAAAATCATATGAATTCCTTATTGAATATTGGCAATAATTGGCAGTCCCTTATTTGTATGCATAAATACTGTGAGATTTTTTGCATCACACTTCCTTTATTATTTAAAATTAATCTTAGAGGGCACCCTATTTGTGAACCTTAGGTAGACCATACGCTGTGGGGGCCCTTGCATCTCTATGGAGTAGTGAATTCATTTTCCACTTCTCCATTTCTCCATTACTTACGGATACCTTAAGGGCATCTTTTAGCCGGAAATTATAAGTTAAGTGATAAATATTCAATATTACATACTAAATAGGACATTTTTATAAACCCTTTGATTCGGCTTAATAGCATTTTAAGTTAGTAAAAATATAACTGATAGAGGTGTGATGCTTAAGGAGATGAGCTTAGCGAGCTTCTAAGAGATCATAGGGGATCCGGAATTGCTCGTAAAAATTGCCTATTGAGAAAAAAAATTATTAAGGTAAGATCGGCATGGCAAAGGTAGAGTGAAGATTGAGTATACATATATGTGAGATCAATATTGAAGAAATAATCAGATTCCCATGTGGTAGATATGAAGACCAAGGTGGTATGCCTTCTGTTTGGTAGCAGTCTCCTTTAGCTTGTGGTGTTTAAATATATAATAGCAGAAAAAAAAGACAACAAATAAAAGCAGGCACATCATTTACCATAAACTTTGCTTTCATATTCTTTGAATTGAGCCATAGCTTGATTAATAGTAAATAATTTTTCATCAACCGTAAATACGGCTTGCCTGAAATAAGCAAAGTTCACATAACACATCAAAAAGAAAAAAAGATTAAATTAGATCCTGAAATAATATAAAAAACACAAATTAATCTTTCAAAAATAGTTTACAAAAATGAGTACATCATAATGTAAGAGTGCAGAGACTTACCCATCACGTTCCAGTACCTTATTCAGTTTGCGTGCTTCGTCGAGACTTCGAGAAGCAATTTTATCGCAGATATTTTTTGGCATAAGCCTGAAATATTTGCCAATAGTTCCTTTCCTTGAAAGGGACTCGAAAAGTTGTATTGTGGTCTACTAGGTAAGAAAGATGATATATTTATTTAGAGGTAAATTACATGTAGGTCCAATTATAACTATGAAGAAAAAGAGGAACCTTATTTAGCCCCTATTTTAGCTAATTACTACATAACACAATTAAAAGTCGTCGTGTTTCAAGAGACACTCCTCGTTCCTAATTTATTAGTTGGCTATATGGACGATTACTTTGCTGTTTAGCAACACTGCAAAAATAGTTTATGGGAATTCCTTGGGCTAATAAATATAATAGATTCAAACATTAAGTTTACCATGAAGTTAGAAAAGGAAAATAACTTGCCCTTTTTGGATGTATAAGTGAGAAAAGAAGTTAATAAGTAGGTATAGGCGTATATAGGAAACCCACTCAGGCGGGTTTCCTTATTAATTTTTTCTCGAACTAGTTAATAAAAAATAGGTCATGAAGTCAATGATAATAAGGAGTCTGCGTCTAGCAGATACAAACGATAGGTACCAGGAGATTGGTAGATTAAGGGATATACTGTTTTGAATCAATTAACAATTAGGATTAGTAGAGAATTCTATATCAATTATAGTTAACCAGATTAAGGGAGTTTGCTAGCAGGCGCGGGGTAGAACACTGGACAATTCCACTCGGTTCCTGATTTTGCCTTGCTGATAGTTTGTGAAAATGTAGATCCTTCTCTTTCAGTAATTCCTTCGTTAAGAGAATATTCAGATCCTCTTTCTATAACAGGCAGTTACAAGGTTTTGTGCTCATGTAGGTATATGTGGGGGGAACTTGCCAACCCATTCACAAGAGACTATGCGAACACAAACCGCTTGTAAAGGTCAGTGGGTCCAAAAATCTCGGCTTTTTGAACACATACCCAATACAGGACTCTCAAAGACTGGTCCAAAACACAAAGTTTTGCGAGTGTATAAAGAAGCGAATAAGGTTACAGCTGGCCACCTCTTCTCTTAGTTCAGTATATTTTGCTCTATTACGGTAAATATAGAATCTTGCTCTGATGAAGTCTGTCACATTAGAGACGTGTCCAAAGGCCTTCACAGCTGGTTCGGGTGTTGAAATTGAGCAATCGACCTCAAGTAGATGTTCCTTAATGATGCAGAACTGTCGCCACGCAGATAATAAGTTTGCTTTGATTGAGCAACCCATAGGATCAAAGTCATAAAGGCCGTCTACGCCTGAAATTTATTAGCATACGAAATAAATATTGTACCCCTGTAAATAGAAAATGCTTGGTCATAAAAGAATTTTTGCTTGAGTGAATGTTCTAATTTGGCCCGATTAAAATGAGAGCTTTTGGAGTTTAACTCATGCTGCTGCAAATATGATTTTAAAATGGCAAACCCTATCTTCGAGTAATTTTTTTCTTGCTTTCAATTCCATCACAGCCATCTTAAGCATATTTTTAGGCGCTTTATCCGCTTTTAGCCTACTAACAATGTCACCCTGGATGCTCTTAGTTGCAAATAAAATTACCTACTCTTGGACCTTGCTCCTATATGGTAACAAGATTTTTTCGTTGTTATCTTTATTAATTGTCATCGTGGCAAGAGAACGAAAAATAAATTGTGAATATTTTGATGGTGAAAAACTTTTATACGCTATCCCAACTATAATGTGACGAAGAGACAATGGGAGATGAAGACAAGGCGGAATCATGCAGCAACCTGTCAAAATGCCGCTCCTAAGCAATTAGAATCGAGTAAACATAATCGCTTTTGCATTATAACATATATTTAATAAATAGTTTATTTTTAAAGATAATTATAGCTTAATTTGTATTTTGTTTGTGTATATATTTAAGCGGGAACCAGTTCATACACCTGTTATTCGTTTTCCGAGGATGCAGCACGGCACATCTCTCTTTAAGGCCTCCTCTAATAACTCCTCTTTGATAAGCATGGATCCCCCTTCCCAGCATCCGAAAAATCTTTCTGTGGACCTAAATCATTCTTGCTCTGTCTCTCAAACCTCGAATGTTGATCGGCCACTACTATATGACGTTTCCAACTTCAGCCCCGTCCCCACTTTGATCCATGATTGTCCTATAAAAGGCGAGCAAGGTGTTTCCTATGGTTCTTGACTCCGCTAAGACA